GCTCAAACATCTCAACAATCCCAATTAACAGCATTATCCATTAAATCATTATCACTGCTCCCAGGMTGCCAGCAGGGCCTGTGGTGGAGTGGAGACTGATCTGAGGATGGGGAGAGCTGGGGTCAGGCTCTGCAGCTTCCCCCTTCCCTAAATCCCAGCTCCTCCTCATTCCCATCCCCAATGAAATTCCCAAAGCTCAGCTCATGATTTACAACAAATCACTCTGCAGTGCTTTGGAAAGGGGCAAAGCAAGAGGGGAAAAAAAAATTAAAAAAAGATGACATTTACCAACCCTAGCCCTTGTCAGATCTATAGATCACCAACACAGTAATGAGCCTGTGCTTTATCGAGCATCCTGTGAGTGGAGAGAGCAGCTCTCAGATGGCTGGGGAAAAAAAATTCCTCTGGCTAAGCTAAATCAGGAAAAGACGCGTTTGGTGCGTTACATAAATGTATTAAAAATTGGATGTCAAAAAGCCCTGCCTCTCCTTGCCCAAAAGCAGCAGCAACTTGGAGAATCTAAGTGGCTCTAATTTGCTTGCTGGCGGGATCAGCCTCAAAATTCGGTGAACTCTCCATCAAAGCTGATGAGCTGGAAGTCCCTGTGGCTTCAGGAGATGGAAGGAGAGAGAGGAGGAGAGGGAAAGAGGGGAAGAGAGGAAGAGAGGAATGGGCTGAGTTAAAATGAGCTTGGTTGAAACCAAGCAGGGAATAGAAGCGTTTCAAACAAATCAGTTAATACAACCCCTGGGAGCAGGGTTGTCTCCAGGATGTGAGTGTCTGTTCTTTACCCTGCTCCTTTAATTAAAACATTCCTAATGATTTATTTAGTCCTTTTCACTAAAAGAAGCCAGGCTGGCAACAAGAAAATAACCACTGATGGCACAGCAGAGCAGCTTTTGGCTTCTCTTCACAGTGACCTGGGTGGGAGCAGGCTGGGCTKGAGCCTGCTGGGTTTCACAGCTCTCTGGGGATGCCCTTCCCCATTAAACACATCTGAATAGACTCCTTCAGGCTGGGAGAGGCYCTAAAACCTCTCTGGGCACTGCTGTGGGTCAGGAAAGATCCCTGGGAAAGATCCCTGAGAAAGATCCCTGAGAAAGGGAGAGAAGGTGGAAAAGCTGTCACAGGAGCAGTTCTGTGAAAACTGAAATTGAAACTCCAACCTGGTGGCTTTGTGACAGCTCATGGCTCACTGCCACCCCCGAGGGACTGCCCTGTCCTTCCAAAACCTGTTCACCACAGCTGGAACTGCTGCATCCCCACTGCACCCCACTGATGGGGGATTTGGGGAGCTCAAACCCCACACAGCTTTCCCGAGCATCTCCCAAACACAACACTCCTCATTCACCGAGCTGTTACCACGGGTCAGGAAAGGTTTTCTCCTGTCAGAGCAGGTTTGTGGGGAAGGGATGAGACTTTGGGCTCAGGGCAGATCAGGCTGCAGCCACAKCTCCCCGTGGAGCTCTGGGAGCAGCTCTGCTCCGAGAGGATCCGTGTGTTTAACGTGGAGCCCCTGCCACATCCAGGCACGTCAAGAACAAAGCTGTCACAGGCAGGTTTGCAGCGTTTTCATCCCGAGAGCGAGCTCCTATTAATGCAGATGGGCTCGGATCTGTCACTTCTGTTCAGAGAGCGATGGGTTTGGGAGAGGATTAAAAGGGCATTGATGCTGTGAGAGATCTCACCATGGGGAAAACGCCAGCCCCGTGCCCCCTGCTCGCTCTGAGAGAGGCAGCATCAAAGCYGAGCTGTCAACCACAGGTAAGAGCTGGCAGGGAACATCCCTGCCAAGGTGAAAATTCGCTGCTGCCAGAGCAGGAGAGGCTTCCTGGTGCCAAAACGCTCTGTTGGTGAGGCCTGGATACAATAGCTTTTGTTCTCTGCCAGCGTCTGGAAGTGGCAATCTCTGAGAAAAGGGCAGCAGTGGAGCTGTCAGCAGGAAAACAAGACAGATAAACCCCTTTTTTTTTTTTTTCCTGGGACTTCTAATTTTTTAAATTTTTTTTTCCCTAAATGAGGTTTGGATTTGCCAGCAAATTCTTTGGATTTGTGGCACGTGATCTCAGTCTGATACCTGTGGCCTCCCACAGTTATTTGAGGATAACTGTGATTACGTGACACAAATTTTCAGCTCAAACCAGAAAATACCACTCGGGCAGAATGTGTGAGGTGAGGAAATACCACTCAAATTAATGATTTTAATGAAATCTGCTCGGTGTTCTGTGGGCAGAGGAAAGCTGTGAGGAACCTACGAGCGCTGAGACGAAAAGTGAATGAGAGTGTGAGCTGAGCAAACCTGTGAGAGAGGAACCACAAACCAAGAGTGAAATGAGCTGGAAATGCCCCACAAACACCGTGGAGGGGAGGGATGATGGGGTGTTCCTGACATGGGGTTGTCCCTTTTGCCTTCYCTCCCACAAGCAGCTTGGAAAGGTTCATAGCACTCCCTTTTTTTTCTGTTTCAAGGCCGATTCTCCCATTTTTACCCCGAACCAAATGATTTTACACAAACGCAGCCGTGAGCAAAAAACAAAAAGGGTTTTGAGCGCGAGCTCGCACCTGGCACAGCCTCCCTGTGTGAACCAGCACCTGTGCCAGGCCAGAGATGGGCTCTGCCATCACCCCTGCAGGGCCTGAGCCATCCACACAAACCCGGATTATCTCGAGATGCATTCCTGACGGAGCCAAACCCGCTGTGTTTGCCAGCCCGGGCTCAGCCAATGCCATCACAACACCCCTGAGCACTCACGGGACAAACCAGGGGTGTCACAGCCCCTCGGGTCCCCAGGACACCCAGGACACCCCCACAGAGCCCCCCAGGGCCAGGGACCACTCTTGATACCAAATAACTTTTGCTTTTCCTTTTCATGTGCCTTTTATATATTTTTATACCCTCTTAGACATTTTCCACACCCTTTATGTATCCTTGTACCCTTAGCCTATATTATAAAAATAATATACAATAATAATATACAATAATTACAAATTATATTTGTAATTGTTGTAGCCTGATATTCCAGCTTAAKTTAAAAGTTCTGCTAAGCAGAAAAACCAAACATCCTCAGTGAAGGATCAGGGCACCCTGAGCTATCCCTAAATTGAACCAACCTTGGTTGAAGCCTCCTCTTTGGAGCATATTATATAAACTAAACTCTAGCCTCATCCAGGGAGAAATTCTTTAGAATAGGAGAACATTACTTCATTTGTCAAGTTTCTCATTGAGGAATTCCAGATAGAAACGCCAATTTATAAAATCTATAAAACTCGTATCCATGCTGTACGCAGTGTGCATTGTGTTGAATTCACATTAAATCACATTAAATCACATTAAATCCCAAGGTAAAACCCTTTTATCCCCTTAACCGTGTCATAATTAAAACCAGGCGATCAAGGCACCACCCTCACCTGCCGGAAGCCGCCGCGGGAGTGCTGCAGGATTTTCAGGGCGTAGTTGGAGCGTTGGCCTTTGCTGTTGAATTCGATGTGGCCGGTGAGACCTTCCAATTCTACCTGTCCAGGAGAGACTGAGTTACAGCGCCCAGCGAGGCTGCTCGGTCCGGGGCCACCCCAGGGCCATCCCAGAACCACCCCAAAGCTACCCCAGAACCACTCCAGAACTACCCCAGAACCACCCCAGAACCACCCCAGAGCCACCCCAGGGCCACCCCAGAGCCACCCCAAAACCACCCCAGGGCCACCCCAAAACCACCCCAGAACCATCCAAAGCCACCCCAGAACTACCCCAGAACCACCCCAGAGCCACCCCAGAACCACCCAAGAACCACCCCAGAACCACCCCAGAACTACCCCAGAACCACCCCAGAACCACCCCAGAGCCACCCCAGAACCACCCCAGAACTACCCCAGAACCACCCCAAAACCACCCCAAAGCCACCCCAGGGCCACCCCAAAGCCACCAGGGATGGCCAACACATCCCACAATAATGAAACTCTCATTTCTCAGTCCTAATTGTTTTTGGAGTCTGGATAGAGGAGAGGAGCAGGGGATCAGCAGCATGAGGTGCAGGATTCCCCAGATTTCCTCACTTTGGGATTGCCCCCTCCATGCCAAGGCTCAGACCACAAACCAGCAGAGCTGGGGGAAGGATTTTGTTGTCCCCAAATAAAACTGAGTTTAAAAGAGGATCACACAAAGTGGTCAAAGGCTCAGGTTCAGCTGAGCTTTCCTTTGAGGGAAAAATTCTGAGTTTTCCTTGCCTCAGCTGCACTCCAAACAGATTCAAAAAGCTGCTCCGAGGAGCCACAGCCATRAACTCCAACACTTCCACAAAGAATGGAATTTCAGAGGGTTCTCATGCCAGATTTAGGCTTGCTTGGCTCCTGCAACCCCATTTTGGGGTTCAAAACAGCCCAAACCCATAGGGGAACTTACACCTTGCCCCTGAGCTCTGAGCAATTGCACTGTGTGGTCTCATATCAACTTAAGAAACTTTAAAATTAAAAAAAAAAAAAAAAAAAAAAAAAAAGAAAATTGAATTCCACTTTTTCTGTTGCAAAGCATGAAAATGGAAGAGTTTCATATCGTTCCAAGGCTGGTGACCACCCAAACCCTCAGAATTTTTTTTTTCACTGCTTTCAGGGAATCTGGTGTGTGAGGAGCAGCCCTGAGCCCCCTCTCACCATCCTCAGGTAGTTCATGAGGCTGGTGCCRTGCTGCCAGATCTGCGCTGAGCCGCAGGACAGGGGTTTGACGCCGATCTCCTGGCTGCGGTTGAGCTCCTGCACCGCCGTCACCACGGCGTACACGGCGTCGAACAGCAGCGCTGAGGACAGCTGTGGGGCACAGGCAGGGAAAAGTCAGCTGGGGGGACAAAAATCCACCTTTCTGTGGTGTTGGGAGCAGGGAATGGTCTGCCCTCAAGCTGGGATCCACTTTGTGCACCCTACCAGCGTTTGTTTCATCCCTCGCTGTCATCTTCCTGTCTCTCTTTGTCTTTGTTCCTTCCCATCCATTTCTTTTTCAGTTTCTCTGGTTTTTCTTTCCCAGTCAAGGGAGGTTTTTTAGTGTTTTGGTGGCCCTGATCGATCTGCAGGCCAGGGGGAATGCTCCTGAGAGAACCAGACATTGCCAGGAGGAATGCTCCAGAGAGAACCAGAGATTGCCAGGGAGAATGCCCCTGAGAAAACCAGAGATTTCCAGGGGGAATGCTCGTGAGAGAACCAGAGATTTCCAGGGGGAATGCTCGTGAGAGAACCAGAGATTGCCAGGAGGAATGTTCCTGAGAGAACAGGGATTTCCAGGGGGAATCGCTCCTGAGACCCTGTGTCTGCTCCCACAGAAGAAAAAACGACTGTGCTGCTTCAGCCACCATGGACGGCCTTCTTTAACCACTTCTTTGATGAGCAGACCCACAAGAAATGATTTTTTTGCCAGATCTGCTTTTCAAGCAGCCAAATGCTGCCCTGCAGACCCCACAGGGATCACCCATCCCTGGTACAACCTCCCCATCCCTGCAGAGGGAACGCCTGGAATGGCAGAGCTCATTCCCTCCCCTCCTCAGCTGGGCTCTGGTTGCCTTTCCCCAGCTCTCTTTGCCCACCAGGCCTCCCAAACCCTTTTTTCTGCCCATGCTCAGCAGTTTCCATGGCTTTGGGCTCGTTAACCATCAGCCATCTCCTTCCCGTGCTCACTGAGATTTCACTTTTAATCACTGTCACCTCCTGACTCGGCTGCCATAGAGCCCTGGCAGCTCATTCCTATCCAAGCTGCATTTTCCTCATGGATATTTCCAAGATCTTCCCTTTCCCATCCTGGCAGTGGGGTCACTCTCCAGCCCGAGGCTGCTCCCCCCAGTTATCCCAGCTGGGATTTCCAGCCCTGCAGTGATTTCTGCATCCTCTGCTCCTCTCAGAGCCTCAGGAGGTTTATTCACTGTTTTCAGTGGCCTTGCAGGGACAATCCTTCCCAGTTCAATGATCCCAATGAGCCTTTGACCCCTGCTCTGTCACTAATTTGAGCAGAGCCAGCCAGGCTTAACCCTGCTCGATTTTACTGAGTCCAGCGGGCAGACCTCACTGACCACATCAGCGTGGGATCAGGCACTTAAAAAACACCACAGAACCCTCCAAACCTACAAGCCATCCTAAATTAAAGGGCAGGATTCCAGCCTGATGCCATGAAAACCCCAAACAGCAGCCCCGGTGACCCCTCACTCCCYCAGGCCTGGCACACAGTGACATTTGCCCTGTCACATTCCCAGTTTAAACGTCCCAGTTTAATCTGTTTCACACACAGAGGAGCTCTCCTGTGGGCAGCTGGACTGGCAGCTGCCACTCCTGCCTTTTTCAGGAGTCAAATGTGGCACTGGAGGAGCTGAGCAGCCTGGGGACACACCAGGAATGKGGACAGGAATGGGACATCCTGGTCCCTGTCCCAGCTCAGCCTCCCTCCTGCCCTTCTTCCCTTGTCTTTGGGTAAAAATCTGCTAAATTTGATTTAAACATTCCCCTCCTGGAAAGTATTTTCCATAGATTCTTAAAGGAGCTGATAAATCCTTCTCCTCACTTTTTTTTTAATCCCTTCAATATAAATTCTTCCCCTAACAGGGCATCTCCATCCTGTCCTGCCCTCAGCCCCTGTTCCGTGAAGCTCCTTGCATACACTTAATTTTAATTATRAACTTAATCCCATTCAGGTTACAGGATGTCACTCCCAATTAGCAATTCCCTTCCTGATTCAGGAGCCACATTAATATCAGATGGACAAATGAAACAGTTATGAGACCAAACACAACCCCCGCGACCCCAAAGTTTCCCCAATTTCCTCCCAAATCAGAAATATTGGCCTGGCGTTTTTAATTGTCTCCTGCTGGGTTTCCATTTCCATTTTCCCTGAGCAGTTAATCCCTTATTAGCTGGTGAGCAGGAGACTTGTAGATCTTAGTGAAGCATGTGACATTATTGATTGGAATATTTTACTCCCAAACCCTGGAAAATTCATTAGGATTTYTGCCAGCACCTTTTATAATTTCAAGAAATTTAAGTGCTGGGGAGGGTGAGGAGATGGACAGGATGGAGTTTTCATGGTGTGAAATAGAAATCCTTTCCCTACAGATGGATTTTGCATGGAAAAGACRTGAACAACACAATTTGGAGGCCACAACCTTCAGCAGAGCAGTGAAAAGAGATTTTTTGGAACGTCCTCCGGGCAGAAGGATCTGTCACTGCCCTCCTGTACCTTCCTCAGCTTTCTTCATGTCACTTATAAAAATCTCTCACTGCTTTTACATTCTCATTTGGAACCAGAGCTTTGTCCCTCTGTCACAAAAAAGCCAATTTGTCTGCTAACAAATTGATTCTCTCCCCTGCCTGCACCAGCTGATTTATGCAGAACCCTGTTGGTTTTGAGCCCCTCTAAAATATCAGAAAATCCACGGGGCTCGGGGACTTCCCTCAATCCCTAAAGCCAAATTCTTGACAATTCTTGACACTGAAAAATGAACAGGTTTGGCTATTCCAGGTTTTGCCATGTGGGTTTTTTTTTTTTTCTCTCCCTAAAACATTATCAGCTGTATCTTTGCCCCCAAACCTAACACGGGGAATTAAACCCATTAAAACCCCACGAAACAGACTTTGCAATCTGGATTTTATTCAATGGCATAAACACTTAATTACAAACATCTGTTTTAGCCTAAATTCTAATTACCAAATCTCGCCATCTGCAATTTGAATGATTTTCTCTGATTTCCTTTCTTTGCGAYGTGATTAATGAGAATGGCATTAGAGCAGGCAGCTCCCTCCTCCTTTTGTCAGACGCTTCCTGGGATTTTTGCAGCTCACAGGAAACCTCCCCTCCTGTCACTTCCAGCTGTTTGAGCCTCCTTTTCTCTCTTTAGGATGAGTTATCCCGCTGGATAACTCCTTCCCGGGGCTACCAGGGGAAGTTCTGACACAAAGAGATGTTTTAACATGAGATCTGCCAGCTTTCCAACAGCAGAGGCAGAAAGATCCCAAATTCACCTCACAGACAAAGTAAATTTGCTGGGAATATTTCACGTCTGTTCTGCAAATTCACCACCCTCAGCCCATCATCTGGGACGTGGCATTTTGAGGAATTCCAGTCCCTCCAGGCATCACCTGGCATCCTCCCACCCACAAGTTTTGCTCAAGAAAATGTGGGATAAGAAGCTCCAATGAGGATTTTCATTTCCCTGTCGTACCTGCTGCCTGTCCCTGCTGCCTCCTGTTTGCACTGAGAGGAGGAAATTTGTTTTTAATGCCTCTCAACAGCCCCTGCAATCCAAAAGGGAAACTTCTTGGTAGGAATCCCATGGAGACTGAG